CAATCTGAAGATCTACGCTCAGATAAGACGATCAACAAAAAGAGAGACGAAAGATTGTACGGAAAAATCGCCCGAGACAGCTGCGTGTAGGCAAAGAGACTAGGCAATGGTTAACTCCATTACTTACGAAGAAAAGTCAATCAAGAATCAAGTGGGTCAATATCAACTGCTCCTGAAATGCAGATCCAAAAATGGCGGTAAATCACGGAAAAGCTCTGGCATGAACACATCAGAACCCACGCTGTCTCTATTACACGCCGAAAAGAGCACGTGCCACCTGTCTCATGAATGATTGCACAGGAACAGAGAAGTGTGGATTCTTTACCAAAGGGATAAGCAGCTAATAATGAAAACCTTAAACGGCGCAGATGTTCGAATCCTGAAGCTTTAATGTGCAAAGACTCTCATCCACAACGGCTACTAAAGAAATAAAAAATCCCGAAAACCCAAAGAAATCATTGCGAACGTCAGGCGAAAATCATTCTAAAATGGAAGGCGACGGGCACGCTTTAACTGCTTACAATTTAAAGTTACAAGAGAAACGTTTATTAAACATAAAATTAACGAATGATCGAATTCTCTAGGCATGGCATTGCCCTTGGCGTGTAATATTCGTCTACCGCATATCGCGAATACAACGCGGGAAGTTGACGGTATAAAAGATTTTCAAGTTCAATACTACATGCATAGCGACTTATCACATATCTTGGCACTACATTACCGGCATATCGCTTGCATTAACCTTTAGCCACTAATATTTTAGAAACTGTGCTACAGGATTCGATCTATCGGCACTCAAATAAAGTGGCCACTGCGGACGCCTGGGATGTTGATTGATTGCATTGCAGCAGCCGTGCCCTCGGTAGCTTAGAGGTGATGTACTCGATGTAGCGGCAGTCTGCTTTTCCACATCGCTGCGGGGTGCCGATCAATAAATTCAAGACGAAGAATTGCTAAGAACGTCGAGAAATTGTCATTTGGTCCCGATTTAAAGCTTAACAACTGTGCCTCAGATTAGACAAATTTACAGAAAAATGTTCGTACCGTATATTTGATACCCCCGCATTTCACGCGAATATTCCGCATACCTATTTTATCTAACAA